CTTACCATGTGTTCAGTTCGTTCTTTGGCCTCTTGATAAATATCCAAGCATTTCTTTCTTGTATCATCATTCTCTAAAGTCTTAAAAGCTCTGTTTACAATCTCAAAAGCCTGCTGTGCTCGCTCCAAATCTTCCTGCAATCAAAACACAGGTACAGTGTTATTTTTCTGTCTTTAAAATTGCCAAGAATCTATGGATGTTACTGATTTTACCACATGGAGTTAATCCAGTTGTTGACCAAGTAATCAACAATTAAACTTATCTAACATTTAAACATTTATTCATTACAGTTTCTTTTCAAAATAAATTAATATTGTACTTAGATGCTAAAACTTTAAAAAAGTTAGATTATATCAGATAAGTATTTTTTTAAGAACAAATTTAACAATGCATATTCCTTTCTGTGGCCCTCATCTCTTTCATGTACACTACTTGACTCCGTCCTTTCCTTACCTATGGGTCGCTGCATCAGGCTGTCTCATGGTAAGCATTCCTTCCATCTGCGGATAAAAACGAAACGTTGACGGGCGTAACCGTCTAAACTAAACAAATGAAGACCGCCTAGTAATTTTTACTATTGGAGATTTAGATCTAGTTTTGCATCCTCAACTGTACATATCTGTTAATTACATTTAGCCCTTTACTGTAAAAAATTACAGTTGAAATTTGGTATAAGTGACAGCTTCGGTGAAGCAATGTTATGCAAAATATGCAGGCTGATTTCGTGTCACAAAATTCTTTTTCACATTGAACATAGAACTATGTCCTGAAATCTATAATCGCATATATTTGTTTTCTCAAACAAACCAATGTTCCAGGCTCTTTACAGTCACATGGTCATGGTTGTTTTGGGACCTGGGGGTCTATTCTTGTTCTCTGTCCGAAACAATTACTCTCAAATAATACTTGACAAAATTAAAAGGCACATGATGCGAATGAAGTTTCATACTCAACATTGTCTTTTGATTGGTGGAGTAATTCTCATTTGACAGTAAATGTTTCGGACGAATCTCAGACTGAGAATGGGAGTAGACCCACAGTAAAGAGTTCTAAACGTTACCTTGTTTGAAAAAAATGCAAATTTATAGTCTGTTCTAATCCATTTTGAACAAAAAGTAAACAAACCTGTTTGTCGAGTTCTTAGGTTTTCGCGATTGTTACACATAGGAAATGAAACTATTTTTCCGGATTTAAATCGCGTATATTTCTTTTTCAAGCAAACCAACCTGTTTAGTTAAAATTCTAAAGCAATCACTCAATAAACCGAATAAGTAACACTTTCACATATATTTATTACTATTATTATATATATTAATTATATGGTTGCATAATGCTGTTCGAAAGAAACATTCGGTTCAATCAATTAAAGTTTAGTAATCGATTTATTAAATCGAACATTTCAATCGCAATGAAACGAGTATCTAAGTGTAAGGATTTGAAGGAGGATTTAAATTGAAATTTTAAATACGCTTATCTAAGTGATGTAAGGAAAACCGCTAGTATGACTCAATTAAACAAATTGATTCATTCAATTAATTAATCGATTTGTAGTTGGCGTTAAAATTGGCCATCACTAAACCGTCTATGGTCGGTGCAGTGACTTGTTTGTTTACTTTTCGTTCAAAATGGATTGAAACAAACTATACAAAAGAAGATTTTGACTTAAAATATGTACCAATCGTAAAATCCAAAGATCTTGGTGCCGAGAACCAGAGCTTCAAGTTGTTAGCCAGTGTAACAGACTTTGAAATAGCAAGTCTACCAAAAATGTCACCTCTACAAGCGAAACAACAGCCTTGTTATAACCACTCACCATATTCTTGTCAGGATGCACAAGAATGGATAACCGTCTGTATTTCTTCTTGATTTCTTCGAGAGTACATTCTGGCTCCAACTGCAGCACTTCAAAGGGGTTCAAGTTGAAATAGGTAGAACCTGGGCGTAGTAAACGGTCAATTTGTTGTTTTGGTGTCAATACGGAGTCACGCTTTTCAATCTCCTTTACCTAGAAACAAAAAATTAATTCATCAATACGAAACTGGCTTTTACCAGGTGTTCTTTTGTCTAAATTGAATAAACAAAACGTATCGTGCCACTAAATATGCTCACCTCTGTGTAAAACTCATCAAACGATGGATCGTTCATAGCTGACGACGACGACATTTTGATGAACTAAATCCGATGATTACTATACCTAATTTTAAAATATCTATCTACTAAGGTCCGCCACTGATATTTTAAAGTAAATCTATGAAATATTCTTAAAAGAGAAACGAAAATCAAGATATTTGATCACAGCTTCCAAGAAAATGCGCCATGACAGGTATTTTTTCAGTGTTGCCAGACTTTTGCGCAGTTAATTCGCCAATTTATGTGTGTTAAGTGGCCGATATTCGCCCAAGTCATAAAATCCCTAAAAATTAGGAAAAACAATTCTAAAATTCTGCTTGCTGCCGGTTATGAGGGAACATGAACTCTCTTATTTCCCACAAAATCCCCTATAAAGTTTGTAATTCCCCAGACAACTTATTAAGTAGCCTAAAATCGCCTTTCCCTATTTCAAACTTAGCCTAAATATCGTCGAGTCGTTGATCACATTTTTAGTCATCGCGCGCCTAATCTGGCAACAGTGTACTTTTTTAAATCGTTATTATAAAGTAGAGCAGGACAGTTTCTACAAAAAACTGTATCACACTACACTTGCTTCGCATTATGTAAAATAGAAAAATAAGCACATTTTTGGCATTGTCCTTTCATCGTAAAAAAATAAAGAACAAATCGGTTAAAAATATTAAAGTCGAACTTTAGAGTATGCGGTACCACCTTAGAGGATGGAACCAATAGTCTAACGGCACCATGTTGTTAGTTATGTCTCAGATTTAGATTTCCTATGAGTCTGTTAAACTTGTGAATTTTCTTGATCGTACGAAAAAGAAATGATATTACGTTAAATTCCTGGACGTAAATTAAGGGGACGGCCATGCATGTTTCATATTATAAATTTTTAGAAGTTATATTAATGGATTATATCATTGACTTATGGATTATATTAATACAATTTGTAAGTCAATTTGTAAGAAATTATAAGAAAAAGATTTTGATAATGACGAAGTACTATTTAGATAAGAAGATTGTAATTTGCACATGTTTGTAATGCAGACTTTTTGGTCCAGTGGCATGAGGTAATTTAAATATTTAATGTTTCATTTGAAAACGGATTGTCTTTTGTTATTTCCATTTGATTGTTTTTACATATCCTTTCTAAGTACTGATAGTTTTCGTAGAAATAAATAAATTTCATCTCTCGCCAGGACTGGTAACTGTAAAGGTACTAACTGGGTGATAAATCTTTCATAGATTTCTCATAGATGGCGCTACGACGAAAAAGTCGTTGAAAAAACAGAATACAAAGACACGACGCAAGCACATAAAAAAATTCGTGAGGTCCGTTGGTTCGTTCCGTGGCTTAGTAGGTATAGCGTCTGCCACGGTAAGCTAGAAGACGTCGGTTCGAATCCGGCCGGATCTAAGGAATTTTTTGTTTGTTGTTTGTGTTCGATCTTTGTATTAATAACATTGAGTTACAAATAAATGGACGACGGGTCTAATACAAAAACCACGAAAAAAATGTCCCAAGTCAACCTATTTAAACGTAATGACATGTCAAGGAATATGACAAAGCTAAAACGTTGAATTTAAATTGTAATGTCATCGCAGTACTGTCTAATTTTGCTTGCTTCGCTGTCAGTCGAACAAACGAAGACTAGAGCGTGAATGACGCTCTGTATACGATTTTAACGCCCTATAAGTTCGGACACTTTTAAGCGCGGACCCGACGTCCATATAATTGTAAGTCAATGATTAATAATTATAAGAAACTAGTGGAGTAATTCCACAAAAAATAATTGAATATCAATTCAATAAAAATGTAAAAAATAGATATTCAATTGTTTTTTGTGAAATTACTCCACTAGTTTGTTATAATTATTAATACAAAGATCGAACACTCAGAAAAAATCCTTCGATTCCTTCGATCGAACCGGATTCGAACCGATGTGTTCTAGCTTACCGTGCCAGACGCTATACCAACTAACTTGCTTAAAGTAGTTAAGAAAGGGCGATGTGTACCCGACTTGGAGTTATCTCAAAGTAAATGTAATGTAACTCGTCAATTCCACAGTTCATATTACAATGTTGTTGGCTGACTCACACATCCAGTCACTTCACACTCTGATAGATTGATTTTCTTGTATTTTATTTGCAAACTCTCCAAATGTTTGGAATGACACCGGTCGATTTGAGTGTGTGCGCGTAATTAACGTTAACGCAGTAACACTTGTTTTTTAATTTGGTAAGTGCTTAAATTATTTTTGATTTTTTAATATATTTTTTTGTGCCTATCACAATTTTATGTCAGTGTCGTCGATCGAATTGTAGGAGTGACAACACGCGGGAGGCGTGGCTTTTATGTTTGATTACTACTCACTACCAAATACAGACCTACAAAGTGTCATAGAGTACAACAAAAACTGAAAAAGTTATTTACGGTTAATTTATTATGTTTTCGAAAAAGTCACAGAACAAAAGTTGTTGTTTATGATGTCAGTAATATTGTCCTGCGAGGTTGTTAGCATTTTAAAAATAACCCTGTATAAGCGGTGGAAGATTATTAATTGTTTCGTTCGCATCGTTCCTATTATATTAAAAGCAAGTGACTTATTAAGCTCGCCTCACGACTTTGGCTCCGCAACGCAGACAGATCCTTGTTCCTACTGAACTAAAAAAACTTGTGAACCATTATGAGAGATCGTACAATAGGAACTAGTTCGTTTCGGTCAGATGAACAACTATTCATCTTTTTTTTGACTATAAAATTGAACTTCGACTCACGCTACTTCGACAACATGTTAAATCGACATGATTTTACTCAGACATTACGTTACTCCGACAACATGTTACATCGCCATTTAGGCTACTTTGAGGGGTCGCGCGGCGACTAAAAAGTGGTCGGCGACTCGGTGATATCTAGGCTATGTTTGAAATAGGAAAAAGTTATCTTAGGCTACTTAATAAAATGTCTGGGGAATTACAAATTTTATAATTTTATTGGGGATTTTGTGAGGAATGGAGTTGTAAAATAACTCATTTGGAGGTTTGAGTATATCGACGTGTGTGGGGTATTGCTGCCGGATATTGGGGAATATGAACCCCCAATATACGGCAACAAGTAGAATTATTTTTCTAGATTTTTCGGGATTTTATGGCTTGGGCGAATATCGGCTGCTTAACATACATAATTTGGCGAATTAACTTCACAAAAGTCTGGCAACACTGCTGCTCACGTTTGCTTGTATGAGTGAGTATCTTCAATTCTTGTTCGTTTGCAAACAATTTTTAAGGTTAGATTTTTTAAACATATGTCGTGTGAGTTGTTCACATTAAGTTTATCGTAATGCTTTATTTTTATGACACTTTTGACTAAGTTATGTCACAACTCATGAGCTTACTTTTTATTTCTAGAAGTGTCTTGCAATTACCTACCTACCCAAAGTTTGTCACAACCCATGAGTTTGATTTATATTTTCAAAAGTGTTACGCTATTACTCAACTGCTATGTAGGTATAAGTACTAAAAACTTATTCGTTGTTCTATCGTAACTTCTTTTTCGTTGTTTAATAAATTATCTTGTAGTACACAAGCTCACTATAACTGGAAAAGCAATACATCTAGGTTTTTACTTTTTTAGAATAAGTTTTTACTGAAAACTACGTACTCAGTTATGATAAACTACTTTTCCTATGTTTAGTATGGCTAAGTATTAGTTATGTCTAAACACCTTCGCCTAGTTTATAATCAATGGTCTGAAAAAGGTGTACCATTATAGATACATATATGTATAGATAAAAGCACCAAATATTAATTAATTACGGATTTCCGGATGAAAGTAACTCCTCTCTTTATTCTATTTATGAAGATAAATAGCCGTACATGGGCAAGGCCGTCAAAAATGGCACTTTTTCGTCTTAAACGTGCAGTAGTTTTTTTTATAAAAAGCACTAAAATAATCTAGTGCGAAGATTTTCCATTTAAAATATTACATTTCTGCTAGTGGTTCGAATTTATAAACATCTGTTATACCGTGTTTTTGGATTTAAATAAAATATTTTTAGAGCCCGATCGCAACGATTCTCATGCAAACTAAAATTATCTAAAATTCCCCTCGTAAATAAAATTGTAAATTATTTTTTTTCTTAAGTTCTACTAGCAAATGTTGCCGTTCCGTCAATATGCGGTATCTAAAGCTACGGAGGGGCGGATAGTGACCATTCTTGTTACCTTTCTATTTCAGTTCTCTCCTGCATTTTTTACTTTGCAACAGTAGAATTACTTTAAAATCTCCACGACTTCATATGTCAGCAGTTTAGCCTTATGACGATGCAGAAAAACCATTTCCTCAAATCCGGAATTCGAAACAGTAATTAATTAATATTTGTTTGTTTTAACAACTCTATGTCGCCTTGTAGCTATCATACATGTACTATATACGTGGAACACCTTTTTCCGGCCATTATTTATAATAAAACAGTTTTATCGTTTTTTTAACCTAGACATTTTGACATGAATAACAGACTCAGCCTATGCCTTGAGATAGTAAGATACTACTCATACATCACTATTTATTTATCAATTTGATTCATTGACATGTTTTTTTAACAGACAATGTACTCATTCAAAGATAAAGTGGTTCTGATCACGGGCGCTAGCTCTGGAATCGGTGCAGAAACTGCACTAGAATTTTCAAAACTTGGAGGAAAGTTGGCCATTACTGGACGAAATAAGAAAAATTTAGACGATGTCGCTAAACAATGTGAAGATGCGTCACCAGAAAAATTGCAACCTCTGATTATTGTAGCAGACATGAACAATGAGAACCACGTTGAAAATATCATAGCAACTGTAATTAACGTCTTCCAAAAGCTCGATGTTCTAGTTAATAATGCTGGAATTCTTGAATCTGGTACCATTGAAAATACGTCGTTAGAGCAATACGATAGGGTCATGAATACTAACGTTCGTGGCCCGTACCATTTGACGCTGTTAGCTGTCCAGCATCTTGTTAAAACAAAAGGCAATATAGTCAATGTATCCAGCGTGACTGGTCTGAGATCTTTCCCTAATGTTCTTGCATACTGTATGTCGAAATCTGCTCTGGACCAGTTCACAAGATGCGTTGCTTTGGAATTGGGTCCTAAAGGCGTACGCGTGAACGCTGTTAATCCTGGAGTAATTACCACCGGAATTCATATGAAATCGACTATGAATGAAACAGAATATCGAGAATTTTTGAAGAAATGTGAGCAAACTCATGCTTTAGGAAGAGCAGGAGATACTAAAGAAGTTTCTTCAGTTATTCTATTCTTAGCAAGTGATGCTGCAAGTAATATGACTGGAGTAACTTTACCTGTTGACGGTGGACGCCACGCCATGTGTCCACGTTAAATATAATGGCAGTGATCGGCATTGAGGAGTTCATTTACCTAAAGTATGAATGTTTTCATAGTATGGACATGGCCATTTCGTCGTCAAAGCGAATAAAATGCATGTTTTTACTGTTTACATTTTAAACATTCCAAAATATAGGTTGTCAAAAGCAAAATTGTTTAAATGACTACAGTTTTTAGATAAACACAACTACAATATTATTTTTAAGACAATTAACATATTATATTATAATTTGAATTGAATAAGACAACAATAATTGTAGCAAATACTTAATAGGAAATAATAATTTGTTGCCAATGTACTCCAATTTCAATAAATACCAAATACGCATACACAAATCGTCGGAGATAATGCAATTACGCGTAACCAGCATATTTTGATTATGAGTCTCCATTTCGGAAATTTAGTCGCCATATCAAATCTGCGTAAATGTCGTGGCAACCAAATTAGCGTGATTTACGGCAATCTATTGTTATCAGTCCATAGTCCAGTACATAAATTAATACTTACTGTACAAAAATGGAAGTCGTAGCCGTTGAAGTAACAAAGTAATAACGTTAAATCCCTCTCCTCTGAAATTTGGTTTGGTGCAGATACGCACTTTTTACCAATACTACATACGCGGATTTGCACTATCCCCGACGAAATATAATCAGTTCCGAGAATAACCCGGGATTTGTAGAAGGGAGTGTCCACGTTTTTCTTTAGTTTAGCTGAATAAAGCCCTCAATTCCGATCACTTTATAGGAGTCATATTGTCATAATATTTTAATGAAAAGAAGAGTTATGTATGGTTGAATATATTTTTTCGAATAAATCGTTTACGTCTTATCTAATAGTGTTTTAATTCGTTGAATTTCCAAACTTGTTCATTCAATTGTAAACCTTGTTGCTTTGTACCTTGTGATGGTATTTGAAACATAACTATGAAAAGGTTGTTGTAAAAGTATCTAGCGCGGATTTATATTGAATTTCGTCTGAATGCTTTTATATCCAATGTCATTCATTCAGTTAGGCTCAATTTATATTGCGGCGGAACGGAGTGGAAGCAAATTTTTGTAACATAACACAATGAACTTTATGGTCAATTGTGTAACGTTCAAACTAGATACGAGGCAAAATCTAAGCAAGACAAAGCGCGTGAATTCCGCGGAAAATTTTCGCTCGTATCCATATAGATTGCACGTCACAATTGATCATAAAGTTCATTATGCTATGTTGCAAAAATTCGCTTCGATTCCTTTCCGCCGCAATATAAATTGATACTTACGATTTTTTACGAGTATTAAAGGGTTATTATTATGCCTTTGGGTGGAGTATACGGAATTCGAAATGGGCCCAATCCTTGGTTATTACGATTTTAAAAGTACATGGCAAAATTGCACAGGCTGAGTGTCTAGATATTTATATAATAACATGAAAAACCAAATATTTATGCGTCTCGTCGTCACAACACGCTATCTATTATAAGTAGGTAGTATTCCATAGGTAGTAATAGAGTACCTAGTCATTTTTTCTAAACAAATTTGGTGATGCAAATAAATATATATTTATCCCATTGACTTACAAATAAATGGACGACGGGTCTAATACACAAACCACGAAAAAAATGTCCCAAGTCAACCTATTTAAACGTAGTGACATGTAAATGAATATGAAAAAGCTAAAACGTTGAATTTAAATTGTAATGTCATCGCAGTACTGTCTAATTTTGCTTGCTTCGCTGTCAGTCGAACAAACGAAGACTAAAGCGTGAATGACACTCTGTATACCATTTTAACGCCCTACAAGTTCGGACGCTTTTTAGCGCGGACCCGACGTCCATATAATTGTAAGTCAATGATTTATCCCCTTATTTTTTTATTTCAGCTGTTAGTCTGTTCTTGCATGGTTGTTGCCTATGCTTGTGTTTAGTAGCAGTAGAACTCCTTGTGAAAGAGTTCATCCAGGGAAGTACTGCCACCTTACCTATTTCTTCCGCCAAGCAGTAATGTCAGCATTACTGTGTTCCGGAAGGGTAAGGGTGCTGGTGAAATTGCACAGGCACGTGGGACTTGTCAACTTATGTCTCAGGGTGACGAGCGCAGTGGCGGTGCTCCTCAGATCTTTGCTATTTATAGCTCGTGAGTGGCACTGCAACTGTTATGGACAGGCGTGTAGCTTACCATCAGGCGTACAACTTGTTCATCCCGTCACTTGATATTATTACAAAAAAAAAAAACTTGGAGGAATCGGATTTTAGTTTCAATAATCTTATTCGTCTTTGTATTTCGTCACCTGAAAGCGGATGCATGTAAGAAGTCTACATTTATTTTAATTCATGAAAATTAGCGTAGGTAGGACAAAAAAATTTCAAATTTATAGAAAATGTTGGATGGTGAATCTTCTCCGCATATTAAGAGAAAAAAAACTAAAATTGCATGTAGTGTATTAGTATTGTTAAATAAGAAACAAATATTGAATTGATGGTCAATGAAACGTCTCTATATAGCAATGGTTTTGTTTTCTTACAACCTACTTCAGTGCTGATAAGTTTTGTAACAAATCAGTATTCGTGTCCCTGCTCTCTAAGTGGGCGGCCATTTTGAATATAGTACTAGAATATAGTTCGGTATCCTTGAAATTGGTTAAACAAAAACACAGTATGTAATATATAAATTGATCGTTTATTTGCGAAACCACATACATAGAACAGAATGATAGAGAACTGCTCTACGATGATGAAAAGAGATTAGCGAGGACGACTGACGATGGAACTATGTTACAGCCTCTAAGCTTCAACATACAAGGTGGGGCAAAAGGTACGCCCGAGTTCGTGGGAGTAATTGAAAAAAAAAAACTTCAGACCTTACGGTATTGATTTTTTAAATTATTTCTGTACATCTTACAGTTTTTTCCTCGAGTTTTGAATACGATGTCTGCAAGATGGTTTTCAACAGCAAGATACTACTTACTGTAGTCGGTTTCTAACATTTTCAGTTACTTTTCGACACATGTCAAGCGGTATACTTCCTCAGTAAATCAGGCTTTGAAGTCTTCTGCGGTGTAGCCAAGTTTAAAAACTTTATCCTTCTAATAATCCAACCGGACAAACTCCTAGGGACTTATAACCGGCAGCGCACGGGCCACCCCGCATCAAAATCGTAAGTTCTGTAATTTTTATTTAATTTATCCCCCAAACTCGAGGGTCTCTTTTGCGCCACTCTGTATTACTCAATTAAATATTTACTTAACTATGAATTACTTAATTGTAGGTATAGTTGGTGTACACTCCACACATCAGCTTATTGCAGTAAGCAGACAGCTACAGGTGAAGACTAAAAATCAGCAATGCTGTAGGGCTAGCACGACAGGCGCGACTTGAGCGAGAGCGACATAGAGCGCGACATACCGCTGTCCTTGCATAGAGATATCGCGCTGTATGTCGCTGTCGCGCAAGTCGCGTCCCGTCGTGCTAGCCCTACTGAGTCTTTAATCTTTTCGTCCACATTACTTCATTGTATTTAATATGAGCCTGCTATTATTGTGATTTCTATGTTTGCAGATAAATAAATGTCTTTATGACATTAATTTAAATTTTATGATGCTCACCACTTGACACGAGTGCCGCAAAGAAAATGCAAATAAAAGTGTACCAGTGTACTCCTTATCTACATTTTGTAATAAAAATATTTGTTACGTTCACCAAAAGACTTTTTTTCCAAAACTTTGGGTGTTTAGTTTAGATACTAACCTAAACTGCAGTTATGGAGTATCGTATGTCGTGAAACCAAACTGACAATCGCAGATTTTATAAAGTATCATGTGAGAAATGAACCACTTACCCTAACTTACACTAACCACTGGAACACATAAACTCTAATTTCGACGAAGTTTCGCTATGCACCACGATTAGTATGAAAAGACATCGAGATCACAATATGTCGGATCGTGATGTTGAGTTAGCTGTCCAGTTTATGGAATCCAGTGTTTACAACAGTAATAAGATAACCAAAAATTGTTTGACTTCAGTTTCACATGCAGATACAGGCTGATTTGTCGGGAGAAAATTTGGACAATATTGACGGCGCAAGGAGTCAAGGCGGTAGCCAGGTGTACACATGCGTTTGTCCAGAAACCCATGACCGTCGAGCCGTGTACATAATCGAAATATCGAGAGACAACTGAAAAGTCGTACCCTTATACCGTAACTCATGATTTATTACATTCCACTGCAACTCACAAATCAACAAAAATCAAGGATGACATTAATGGTTACAAATTTTTTTTCAGCCGGCTAACCTGTAAGGCGTGTCACAACCTGTTGGTCTGTCTGTCGTCCCAGTTCATTGTTGCATTGTACAACACTCATTTTTCTCATAAGTTTAACTTGAACCGGAAAGAGTGAATAACCTGCCACCTGGCTGTCTTACATTTTAGCCAGTAAAAGTAAGGAACTAGTTCTTAGGTTTTCGCGATTGTTACGCATAGGAAATGAAACTATTTTTGAATGTGAAATGAAACTCATGGTCACGGTTGACAGGGACCTGTAAAGGGCCCGAAACGTCGGTTTGTTTGAAAAAACAAATATACGCGATTTAAATCAGGAAAAATAGTTTCGTTTCGTACAAAGAACTAGTTCTCCAGAGCTATAATCCTAGCACACTCATGTTTGTTTTCTTCCTTTCCTCCAGATCTTTAACCTGACCTCAAACCTGAATATAGTTAAGATACTTAGGAAGTCTTATTCACCAATCTTATCCATCATCCCTGTCCAGCCAGCCTAAGTAAATAATTCTTACCAAAAGTGCAACGTAAATCTTATATCAACAACGTGCGTTTGAACGTATCATGCGTTGTAGTCAGTGTTGCCAGATGGTTACATTTCTTAAAATCTTCGACCTTGTGACCCACTCACGTAATGTGTAAGTAACTTTTGTTTTTAAGGCAATTAAAGTATCTTTTGAAGACATTGAGATTTTTAAATCCAACTATACTTGCTATTGTAAATCTTAAATAGTTTATAAACGCGTCCAAAATTAGACAATAAAGTATCTCAGAAATGACCACTGACTTACAAATAAATGGCGCAAAAAAAATTAAATCAATCAATCTAACTTGATCTTTTTACAGTTAGATTTTTTTTAAACTTTAAAAATGTAACTTTTGCAGAAACAAATTAACTTTTCGGGTAACGAAACGTAATTTTTCGATTCAAGGGCCCTGGCACCACAGGTTACAGTAGATGGTAATAATTTTTCCTTTTAGTCACGATATAATTTTATAATATGAATATGTTTGTTATCAGTTAAGGAAATTAGTTATGAGATTTCAACTTCATTAACAAGAATTGGAGACTCTAATACAGCAGGACTAGATTTCTCTTGATAATTGCAGCATTAGGAGGGGCCATAATACAACCTACAACGTTCAAGACGATCTTGGCTGTTCCGGTTCCAGCAGCAATTAAGTTAGGAGCGCAAGCTACTGCAATTACTGGTATTGATGTCAAAAATTTGATTACTTTCCCCTGTAAATGGAAATATGAATTATTATAATCACAAATCTGCGATTGGTACAGTCATAAGCATGTCAATTTTGTTTCTTTGGAAATTTAACTTTTCGCAAGTGGTATAAAGTTGAAATCAAAACGTAAGTGTCATGTTTCACGTGCTTTGGACTCTGGACGTGCAATCAGCAAAGTTCAAGTTTCCAGTCCCAACACAGTTTTGTTTGCAAGCGGGGATTGTACCCTAGGCCCGTATCTTGTTTTGTTGAGCACTTTTTTGGGAAACCTTGTGTTTTTAATATAAATATGATCTAGATGTACAAGACTTTGGGGTTTAAGCGCCATTGGCTGACAAGAACAAACAAAATGGCCGCTACTAACCACCGTTACTTGCACGCAAACGGAACCTGTAAAGCGTCGAATTTATCGTAAGACCTGCATAAGTGCCGACAGGTCCTTTGTACTTTAGGTACGTAAATTGTAGATATATTTTCCAACTTTACAAGGACATCATTTAGGCCCATCCGAAAAAATTAGTTTTTTATTCTAGTTCAGTGTACTTATTAAATACGAACGTCACGAGAGGAGCATAAAGACATATCAGTCCAGAAACGGCCAAAAAATCTCTACTCAGTAGAGCTATGGACAGAAATTGGTTATGTGGAGTTTGTAAATCATTTCAAAATTCTGTGCCAGTTATATACTTGAAGACTTACCTGTTTTAGTAAGTGTAAGACCATTTTGAGCAAAACAAATGCTTTCTTTTCTAAACGGAAAGCAACTTTTGCCAAGCAAATGTGAAGTTTGAGCATACCCTCTTTTTTAGAACATTTTTTAAATTCTTCAAAAGCGTCAGTTACATCGGTGATTACTTTATCGGCAATATCAAGCAGCGCAGGAATCACTTCACTTTCAGGTAAGTGTTCTACGACACAAGTTACGTATTTGTTTGTAAGCTCTGAGACAACGTGGTTTATATCATTACGATGAGTCTGTAAATATATTGAAAGATTTAATAAGGAATAAAAAGTCTATGTAGTGGATAGCATGCACCCTTTTCCTACTCAGGTATGTTTATATGTAAGGTACTTACTTTAATACAGTTTAGCACTGTAGATCTTGTCGCCAATATATGCTTTAAAATCTCGTTTACTTTCCTGATAATCTCATTTGTACCGTCCTCAGTTGTGTTTTGTATAGTTTCAAGAAATCTTTTGAGTAGTTCAACTATGTGCAAAATCGCTTCCGACGAATAGGAAACCACTTTATTAACGATTAATCTGTGAGGTAATATTACTGATTAGACATTAGCTATTCATCTTTCACTGCAAAGATCTTTTTAACACATGTTTTGGTTACTATTAGTAAAACTTACATTATGTCCCTGGAAACATCTTCGATTACGTCACGTTTATGGCGTATCAGAGAGGTTTGTTCTAATTTGACTGGACTTTCATATGCCCCGCAAATCTGTAATTCAAAATTTCAAAAGAACTTTATGAACTTATTCCATCGCGAAATAATACGCGTCTAAATTGAAATAAAAGTGTTACTTTTAACAGTAATGTGTAGATTCAGCGATTGTGTAGAATCGTTCTATACTATACCGGGCTCCTTTAGGCAATGTTTTAGTTAATATTTTTTAAATTATTATACACATTGTCGCGAATTCATTTGTTCATATATATTTTTTTATTGATTTTCTTTATGGATTGTCAGTTGCGGTCGCGCGGCATTTAATATTTTTTATTTGTGCATATTTCTGTTCTTTTCTCACTCATTTTATATTCCGTACAGTGTATAACGTCCACTTCACAAATTACCTAGACATTGTATACAAAATCAAGGTATTGCATAGAATTAAAGAAGTATTTTTTTTATTTTAAAATGTAATTTCCGTGTGACAGTGAACTGTACTTAATTTTCAGGATGTTACTTTATTATCTAGTTTACTATGTTCTTGTATTTGAATGTAGTTGAACCGTAACTTACTTGCTAAATTCTTGTTTATGATTGTGGAACTCCAGGTCTATTTGTTCTAATCCATGTTTTTGTATAATTTACCTGTTTTATGACTTTGTTTCCCTTGAATAATGATAAAAAAATAATGCCAGCAGTAGATTTGGCAATATACTCGATGGGGAAAGTATGAAGTAAAATTCAAAATAATCAAATTAGTGATTTGATTAAAGGTTGGTTTATCCTTATTAAAAATAAATAATTCTGCCGCCAAGCAGTAATATGAGCATTACATGCACACGGGACTTGTCACCTTATGTCTCAGGGTTTCGGGCGCAGTGGCAGTGCTCTTCAGATCTTTGTGATTTAAAGTTCTGAGTGGCACTGCAACTGTTGTGGACAGGCGTGTCGTTCAACACCAGGCGCAGGACTTGTTCGTCTCGTCACTTAGTATTATAAAAAAAGACCCGTGCTCGGTATGGGACGTATAATGAGTAAATGGGGTGCACGAATACGATAAGAAGAAGAATGAATAAACCATAATCAACACTGAACTCACCGCTATCAAAAGGAATACCACTGGTAATGATCTCATTTTTTTCAAATGCTTTTGGAGTCGTGAGTACTTCTGTAAAACGACGCGTTTTCTCAAAAAAAAGAGAATAATATAAAATACGCAGTTTCTTGTTTTATATATGTGTAAGCCCTGCAATTCTCTAATATAAAGGATGTTAGTGAAACCATGCAAACCATTTTAATATGGTTGGGTATGGTTAAATGCATCAGTACGTGAAGAAATTTTATAATTGTGTTATTTTAAAATATTTTGTTTATAACTTATCACCAGTTATCGAAATTGATTGAGCTAATTTAGCTAAGCTAAACAATAAAGTGGACATTCCCTCCTATAAATCCCGAGATTTCTCGGATCTGGCGTATTATTTATTGAAATTTGAGTACATTGGGAACAAATTATTATTTATTGTTAATTTGCTTCAATTTAACAATTTAACAACTTTTAAAAATAAACATTTCAACCTATATATATTTTGGGTATTTTTAAACAATAGAAAAATAAAATATAATATTATAAAGTATACCTAGATATGGTTTGGGATTAATATTTAAGAAATTAAGTAACAAACATCATGTTATTATAATTTGGTGTTAAAATGTTGTTACCTATTTCTACCGCCAAGCAGTAATGTCAGCATTACTGTGTTCCGGTTTTGAAGGGTAAGGGTGCTGGTGAAATTACACAGGCACGTGGGACTTGTCAACTTATGTCTCAGGGTGACGAGCGCAGTGGCGGTGCCCCTCAGATCTTTGCTATTTATAGCTCGTGAGTGGCACTGCAACTGTTATGGACAGGCGCGAAGCTTATCATCAGGCGCACGAACTATTCGTCCGGTCACTTAGATATTAGAACCGTTTTACCCCCGAAGGGAATAAAACGGATATTTTGGGTCTAGCCAAGGCTTGACCCAATTTAAGGCCTTGCCGGCCTTTTTTCTTGAGACGGTACTGGAGAACGCGCGATGCGCTCCCGCCGGCCGCGCCTCCCGCGCTCCCCGCGCTGTTTTCAGTGGCGGGGCGCGACGATATAAGCGACTATTGCTGTGAAACGGGCTAGAACACGTGTAATTCATTCTCAAAATACGAAGTGTAATCTCTTAGGGTCAAGCCGCAGGCTCAGACCTAAAATATGAAAAAAAGTTAAAAATGTTTAAATTAACAAATTGTTATAATAATTATTAATACAAAGTTCGAACACTCAGAACACCGTGCCAGACGCTATACCAACTAAGCCACGGAACGAACCAACGGACCTCACGAATTTTTCTATGTGCTAGCGTCGTGTCTTTGTACTTGGTCTTTCAACGACTTTTTAGTCGTAGCGCCATCTATGATAAATCTATGACAGATTTAAAAGAGGTCGCTATAAAGGTACTAACTGGGTGATAAATCTGTCGTAGATTCGTTCGTTCGTTCCGTGGCTTAGTTGGTATAGCGTCGGGCACGGTATGCAAGAAGACGTCGGTTCTAATCCGACCGAATCGAAGGAGTTTTTTCTGAGTGTTCGATCTTTGTATTAATAATAATAACAAACTAGTGGAGTAATTTCACAAAAAATAATTGAATATCAATTCAATAAAAATTTCATTAAATTGTTATAACTTATGTAATATTGGAAGAGCGGGGTTTCCTGTCACAGGCACTATGTGCTTAAAAAGAGACTCCTGCCACTAGAAACTAGTCTAAACTGTGTTAAAAAAATAAAGGATTATTAATATTATTATAGTGAAATGAAAACTTTGTACTAAATGTTATTTTTCACAGCTTGTGCGTATTTGGATGACACAAATCCATGATAGCCGTTTAGCTCTTCAGGTTGTTTGGGTCATTTGAAATAAATACTGTAAATGATAAAGTGTACAAATGTTTGTTTACAAAGAGCAACCTCTAGAGTTTCTTGCTCATTCTTTTCAGGGAAATCTGGCTTAACAATGTGACAATTTCTTATTATTGTTTCAAATAAAGTTTGGATTTTGTTACATTTTATTAATTTATTTTAATGCAAGACTAATGCATTCCTATGTTTTCTATGTCCTGGGCCACAATAGTATGCGTATGAGTATGTATGAGTGTCTATGCTAATAAGAAGTCTTTCATACTAAGTCTATGTTTAATTGTCTTTAATCAACATCCCATAGCTATACCAGTGGTAAAATGACGTTATAATCAAGTCCTCAATTACGTGAGGCGAATATAATAATCAGTCATTGGTATAAACTAAAGTTTGAGAAGGTGGTTGGTTATTAAGATTGAACAACGTTTATACGGAATTAATACTAATTGTGCGGAAATAATCCTTCATGCAGACGGTAAGATATCGTTAAAGTTTATGTAATAATAACTGCACGTGAATGATAAAGTTAGTATAGTTCGTGAAATACAAGAAGCCTCAGGAGGAAAATGTTTGAAATATTTAGAATTAACTCTGTGACAGAGCACAGGGCTGCATTCACGTCTAGGCCCACTAGGCCCCGGCCTGTTGGCGCACCATTACACGGGGCACTCAAATTCTGAGAGAGTGAACATTAATAGGTATTCAAAGACAAAAATCAGTAGCAGTAGAGCTTCTCACAATCTAGTTCGTCCAGTGAAGTACTACCACTTTACCTATTTCTGTCGCCAAGCAGTAACGTAAGCATTACTGTGTTTCGGTTTTGAAGGGTAGGGTTGTGAAGTTACAGGCACAAGGGACTTGTTGACGTGGCTGTGCCCCTCTGGGGCTCTTTGAAATTTCAAGTTTTTAGTGGCACTGTAAATGATAAGTGGAACAGGCGTGTCGCTTACCACTAGGCAGACCACTTCTTCCTCCCATAACTTCTTGTCATAACGGTATAATAATATCCTAAAAAAAACAAATTCGTCAAAAAAAAAATGGAGTGTGTAACTAGCGCCGGCGCCAGTAACCAATACCTGGTGCCCTCTAGTAGACATGCAATCAAAATGGAATACTTACGGTTATATTTTAATATAGTGCAATTATGAGATTATGGTGGGAAGCACTAGCCTGTTTACATCGTTTGCGCAGCGAGAGACGCAGACTCTTTGGAGACGTCGCGAGCGGCGCTCGGCGCCCCGTAACGTCCTGAGTCCGTGTGGGTCGTACACCCTGTGTCATTGGTAAAGCCGGCACTGCAATGTATAGTGTAGCCATTCCCAAACATCGGGTAAATATTAAGAAGTCATGCCTAACTTTTTTTAAATTTAACCTGGAAACCTAGTTTTTTTTGTACTATATCTGCTTTGATTATTGTAGGAGGTTAAGGCAAAATAAAAGAAATAAATTTAGTTATTTTAAAGTTCAAATAATCTTTTTACTCATTTAATACTTGAGACAACTTGAGAGCAATATAACGAGAAGGTCTGTTAAGGATTTTTTTTTAAACAGAACAAGATAAACCATTGTGTTGGTACCATTATTAAAAATGTTAAAAGGTGTTCTTCTGGCAGACTTAGCTCGATCAAATTATTATTGATTTAGAGTTGTTTATTGTAGATAATTTTTTGTAGAGTAAAATATATTAAATTCAACAATTTCTTTTGCAAACAATTAATATTGTTCTAAATATAACACTAACCCTTTTGTAGAAATAATTTAACCGGCATATTTTCAACAATAACATTTTGACGACCTCGGTGGCCCAACAGCTTCTGTGGACGCTGGAAGGAAATCCTGGGTTCGATTACCGATAGAATCAATTTAAGTAGAATAGAATTTACAGTCATTTTTAGAATCTTATGAGCCCAGTAGGGCATGACAATAAAATTGAGAGGTAAATAGGTAGGTATATTATTATATTCGTATCATCATCATTCAGCTATACGACGCCCACTGCTGGGCATGGGCCTCCCCCAACGATCTCTCATATTCGTATAGTAAATTATTATATTCACGGAAAATCTGTATTTTATAATAGTATATACAAAATTTTATATTGTCTAGTCTGGTGTAACTTTAAAAAAAAAAATTGTTTATGACTATTAACAAATAGTATTGACGATATTTCATCTTCAATATAAGAAATACCTTCAGACAGAAAATGATAAAAAATACGAAATAGGTACAAAGAACGCCTGTACCATTTGTTGTGACGACAACAGATGTGTTTGACAAATAAATATTTGCCATTAAATTTTAAAAGGCGCTAATCTACAGATTTTTGTAAGTCAAAGGGAGTCACCACGCTTATTAACACAAAATGGCGTATTATGTGAAAAATAATGTTATACATAGTAAACGAAACTATTTTTCCGGATTTAAATAGCGCATATTTGTTTTTTCAAACAAACCACGTTTCGGGCCCTTTACAGGTCCCATGGTCACGGTTGACTGAGGTGGTATAGTCATCAACCAGTTATGTCTAATTTTAATGCAAACCATCCTATTTTTTCAATATAGTCATTGACATACCAAAGTTACAAAAGTTATTAATTAAATACCTTATTTTTAATTTTACAAAGAAACATTCCAATTACGCTACATTGTTTTACAAATTATTTTATTGTAATAATATAAATTTTTATTCAGTTAAATTTATTATTATTTAATAATGGAAATTAGAATAAATTAAAACATTTAATTAGTACTGCAGTCTTATGTCGGTTTGGGATTTTTCATCAAAGGAAATACTGGATCCGAAACTGGTGGTACGGAGAAACCATCTTCCGTAATAATAGCATAAATAAAAATAAAACTCTCGCTTTTCGCTGTCAATGCAATGTTTCAAGCTTTTTTAAGCATAAAGTCTATAGTAGCACCCCCTGGACAGCGCCCTACCCTAGGACACTCACCCTAACCTAGGCGGTACAGCACAATACATAACTAACAACGTCTTGCGCTTTGTTGAACTTAGTCTGTGAATGCTTTTACATTGATGCAATGTGTTATTGTTACGATTTTATCGAGTATTTAATTATTTATTGTTTATTAAGATTTTAAAAGTACATAGCAATATTGAAGTCTGTTGTTGTATTTACTTGTACATATAATAGTAGGTACCTATTTAGTTTTTTACATAAAACTCCTAAGGAAGAATCATAGTTTCGTCTCAATAATCTTCTTCGTTTTTGTATTACATCACCCAAAATCA